CATAGATTTTATATCTCAGGCTTTCTGGGTAAATACTTACATAGGATGGTAATCCTGTTATATCTTGAAGTTTAATATGCCTTTCCATATGTAGTACTCCTTGCTATGGAGTCATGTTAATGAACAAAGCTCTCAGCACGCCAGGCAGCTGGAGAACAGAGCCCTGTGCTCATGTTGCTTGCACAAACACGTGAATTGTGGTCCCCACAGTGGGGCTCAGGGACCCCTGATGTTCTGCAGCTTTTTTACCCTGTAAAACACAGAGCCAGAAGATGATGCTGATAGGGTGGAGGGAGGTGGGTTCTGAGACTGTTTCAGAATTTCAGAGTTCAGGAGTCGGGACCATCTGAGAGGAGCTGGCAAAGCAGGCAATTATTTGTGGGGGGAGGACATGGGAAAGCACAGATGTCTATAGATACTACAAAGAAAAATACACACTGTGCAAGAACAAACTTATATAGAAAAATTAAAAATGGGGATTCTTAACAAAGAACGTTTTGGAAATGCTCTCTTGAGCTTTAGCATTCTGGGTAGTATTTGTAAAAGGGGACAAGTTCTTACACAGCCAAAATAACCTTTATACTGTAAGTCTTCATTTCTCTGTTTATCCCATCCTGTGCCACTGAACAAACCTGTATTAAACACCGAATGTGTGCCAGGAATTGTGCTTCTGTGCCTCTTTCCCACCTGCCATATACAGATGCACATATATACACACACTCACTTTGAAGTTCAAATACCATTTGTAATAACTGGAGGTCCCTAGGACCTTTAACACTAAAAGCCAAAACAATTCACTCACTACATCAAGCTGAAGTTAAAAAGCAGCTTCCCAGGGTGAAACTTGGAAAACTCTTGAATGCCAAGCTGTTTATTTGGATTGGCTTTTCTGGACTTGTTGATAGAAGTAGATATCTTGCTGACATATTGCATCATTGCTGATGAGAAAACTTTGAATGGAGAAATTTACTGAGCCAGATTTTCTCCTTACATAACTGGATAGGATGGTGCCAGTTGTTGGAAGGGGACACTGGATTGGATATAATAATTTGTCCAGAAAATATAGATCTCCTGAATTTGAGATTATTGTGTTGTCTCTAAAAGTTGGAGTTGATTCTAAATGATTTGGTTAATGTTCTAGTATCATTTCTCTTATTTTCAGTCTATTTTTATTTTACCATTGAAATTCTTTGACGACTCCTTCTCATTACAATGTTATAAAAATAATCTTGAATTTCAAATCAACTCTAGTGCTGTAGTACTGTAACATTTTTAGACAAATTCAGTTATCTCTCAGTTAAAATTTATCTTTTAAGGAAATCGTGTACATCAAAATTGAGATCCAACTTGCTTAGCTAATTAGAAACAATTAAACTAATTAAGATTTCAGATCCACAGCACTAGAATTATATATTACAAGGTGAGAAAAAGGCTTCCAATTTCACCAAAACTTGTCATTAAAATGTTTTTCTTCCAATTCCTTAGAATGCTTCCAAGGTGAATCTATATTATCTGAATTTAAGGAGAAACAAAGTAAATCTGGAGTTACAGAAAATGCCCAATGTATCACATTGTTGGTTATGTTCTTGTTGTTAGGTGCCATTGAGTCAGCTCCAATTCATAGTGACCTTGTGCACAACAGAATGAAACAATAGTGGCCTGGTCCTGGGCCATCCTCACAGTCCTGGCTATGCTTTAGCCCATCGTTGCAGCCACTGTGTCAATCCATCTTATTGAGGATCTTCCCCTTTTTCACTGACCCTCCACTTTACCAAGCATGATATCTTTCTCTAGGGAATGGTCCCATCTGGTAAAATGACCAAAGTAGGTGAGACTAAGTCTGGCCATTCTCGTTTCCAAGGAGCATTCTGGCTGCACTTCTTTCAGCACAGATTTGTTCATTCTTCTGGCAGTCCATGGTATTTTCAATATTCTTTGCCAATAGCACAATTCAAAAGCACCAACTTTTCTTTGGTTTCCTATTCATTGTGTAGCTTTCACATGCATATATGGTTATAGTGAGCATATAGTTATTTAGGAGTTTATATCCATTTGATTGGGGGAGGGGGGAATGAATTCTTTCCACCAGGAAGCTTTGGCACATGAAGAGGTAAGAGCTGTCCAAGGTGTCTCAGCATTCAGGTTTGGGGAGTGTTTGGTGCTGTGTAGTCTTCCATAGAGGTCATGTTGCCTGTGGGTGCTATCTGATTCTCAATGGACTCAACACCACAACTCCACTGATATAGCCTTAATATACTCAAAAGAGTCATTGCAGGCTTATCTTATACTTGGAATAGGCTTGTAATTCTTGAAGTAGGTTAGAAGAGAGGAGATGATCATTAGAGTGAAAGAAAGCTCCTCTTGTTATTGGCTTAGATCTTGGTGGTATCTTAAATATGCACTCACCTCTTGAGGAACTGAGATGGGAATCCAAGGGCCACAATACCATTGTTAGGGATATTTTTGCGAGACAGATTTTACCTGTACCTGTACTCCTTCCCTTTGGCCAGCTCTTCCACTTGGAAGACCTAAAGCCCTAGCCTCAGATTTTCTTCAGCTGTCATTGCAGCCAGGTTTAGAAACAGGAAACTTGCTATGGAAATGAGAAAGTGCACCTGCCTGCCTCTCAGATGTAACACATCTGCTTCACTTTTCAAGATATAAATTGTTGTCAGATGGGAGGAAATCCTCTTCTAAAAGAAAACTCACCTGCCAGATGGTAAACTGACTCACTGAATTTCATCTATACATAATACATATAACCAATATTTAGATTTGTGAGCATGTTTCGAATATGACAAGCTGAGACTTATATAGGTTAAATCATTTGCTTTTTGTTCCAGCTAGGCTGTAAGCTTTATAAGAGTAGGAGCATTTTCTTTTCTTTTCTTTCTTTATTTATATTTAAATTGTGGTACTGATAAAGAGGCAAGGAAGCCACATCTTCTGACCTCCTCTAACTACACAAGAGGAAGACAGAATCACCATCAGTAGCCCAAGGCCTATCCCTGTGAGCCCAGACATGCTGCCTCCCTCTAGCCCTTTATCCAATCCTGACACCAAGCGTTCCTCCCACAGCACTTACCTCCTCTCTGCTGGGTTCAATAATTCCCTACAGTGGCCGCACAGAACTCACAGATTATGGGGTTATTTAGGGAAGAAACAGGCTACAACTCAAGTTCAGAAATGTACTCAGTCTCTCACAGCCCACCATCTCTCAGATGACAGTCTCTCTCAGTCTCTCTCAACAGTGCATGTCTCTCTCATCTCTCAGCAGCATGTCTCTCATGTCTCTCAGGAGCACGGTTCTCTCAGCAGCATGTCTTTCTCAGCCAGCAGTCAGAGAGACTTCTGCCTCTAGAAGGGCTCCTTTTGAGCCTGGCAGAGTGACCACTAACCAACCTCAACTTCAGAATTCTATATACCTGAGAGCATGAACTTCCCAGAAGATTGCTTCATGCTGGTTCAGCAGAAATACCCCAGGTGGATCACTTTAGCAATCAAGAGCTACTCTGTTGCTCATGGCAAATTCCACCATGGAGTTTACAAAGACTTTGTCTAGAAAAGGCACACTATGTAATTTACTACACCACAGGTACATGTATGTAACAAAACATTTGCCATTTCAAAATTCATCACACGTACAACTCAGTAGACATTAATTGTGTTCATCATGTTATGCAACCTTTACCAGAGCAGTATCTTTTTATGACTGTATTTCCAGGGTCTTGTATATATCTAACATTAATTAAGACTTGGTTAACATTTGTGGAGTAGTTAAACAACTAAGAACAACTGTAGAAGTAGTGCAAGTAAAATGGCTAGGTTTAAACTATGTCTTCAAAGTCCACCATCTTTCTATACCACCAAGAAATTTTCTTTAAATAACATTAATTCATTGTAAAAATGCAAATATTATTATTTCCTGTCTTGCTTTGTGTCATTTCATTCTTTACTTAAAAATAATGTTCATTTCATTTCCAAATTTCATGTTATTTCTAGATTTTGTAAACTTATGTTGGGAGTTACTGAAAGAAAGTCAGTAGCATTTTAATATGTCTCCTTTGTCACCATTTATTTGATAGTAAACCTTGCCTTGAGCTTGAAACTTATATTATTCAGAATTTGACTCAAAATTAAATACTTCAATGTGGATGTTACTAGATCAGAATTTTTGCCTCTCCCTGTCATAGACAGACTTTCTTCATTTAGGAGCCAAACAATCAAGCAGGCTGCAGTGACTCCTTCTGGAACTCAGAAGAGTGTGGAGGAGGCAGGCTTCCCTTCAGTCAGAGCATCTATGTCCTCTGGACATGCCCAGATGTCCCTCTTCACCTTTCCTATGTTGCTCTACCCTCAAATATTCCAAAGCCACGAAATGATAAAGAGTTCTCATGGACGCATTGAGGGTGTGTTAAGCTGGGTTATTATTATTATTAATCTAACAGGCTTAATAGCACTGTAGTCAAAAAAGGTATAAGATTTGACCTAAAAAAATCAGTGTTTAAATCCAGCCTCTGCCACTAATTCAGCCTAATCTTGGACAAATCACTTAAACATTCTGAGCTTCAGTTTCTTTATCCACAGAAAGAGGACAATGCCCGCCTCCCTGTCTAGCCCCCAGTGTATTGAATAGCTCAATGTGATGACATATTTATAGAAAATGTGGGCAGCAAAGTCCTACAGAGCCATAGTGTAATTCTCTCTTTTTCCTTCTCTCTTCTCTCATTATCTTATGCATCAAATTCCATCTTGGGATAAATTGCACAAGATGATCTCTTTCACCAGGGACCTTCCTCTTCTGTTTTTAGATCTAGCATATATAGCTGTTTTTGAAGAGAAGCATGACTTTTCATTTCCATGTAAACACATACGTTTTAGCTGAAGTCCCTTATGAAGCTTGATCTGGAGCTTTGTGTTCATACCCTTCCCCATCACGTCCAGCATCCTTCCCCATCCATCTCCACTATAGAAGAGCCTTCTCTGCAAGTTTTCGCATAATGACTATGTCTCAGGAATCACCTGGGCTGAGAAGTGAGCTCTCTCCTAAACCTATCCTCATCACATGTTCACTCACCTTTTTCAGTTTTGGGGCTAAAAATATAAAAATAGAATTAATGTGAGTGGTGGTTAATACTGGGGATTTTGGAATCTTTTGGAAACATGGGCAAATGGCTCAGTGACCCTGAGCCACCTTCTCCTCATCTGTACGATCATAATGATATTTGATTTGGAGTTGTTGGTAGATTAAATGAGATGAAGGGTGTAAGGAATAACACATATTACAATCAACCCACCTTCGTATCCACAGGTTCCACATCCATGTATACAACCAACCACAGATTGAAAATATTAGGGGGAGGGGAAGGATGCATATGCATTTAAATGGTCAAAGCAGTCCCTCAAAGACTAAGAGGGAGCAAAGTGCTATTCACATAGCATTTACTTTGTATTAGATCTTATAAGTAATCTACACCACCACCACCCATTGCCCTCGAGTCAGATCTGACTCATAGCGACCCCTCCTTGGGTTTCCGAGGCAGTATCACTACGGAAGTAGATTGCCCAACCTTCCTTCTGAGGAGTGGCTGGTGGGTTTGAAGCGCCAGCCTTCTAGTTAGCAGTCAAATGCCTTACGCATTACACCACCAGAGCTCCCAATAATCTAGAAATGATTTAAACTATGTGGGAATACGTGCATAGATTATACACAAACACTATGCTGTTTTATATAAGGGACTTGAACATCCATGGATTTTGGTAACCATGGAGGATCCTAGAATCAATCTCCTACAGACACCGAGAGATGACTGTAAATATATAATATACTTGTAAGTATATAATATACTTGTCATTATTAAGGAAAAACAATACAAAAAAAAAAAAAAAAAAAAAAAAAACCTCTTTGCTGTTGTGATGCAATATCACTACAGAAGTAGATTGCCCAACCTTCCTTCCGAGGAGTGACTGGTGAGTTTGAACCTCCAGCTTTCTGGTTAGCAGTCAAGTGCCATAGACACTATGCCACCAAAGCTCCCTTGTTGGTGTTAGTTGCTGTTGAATTGATTCCAACTCATAGCAGGCCCATGTATGCAGAATGGAAGGCAGCAGATTTCTACAGCAGGGTTTCCCAACCTTGGCCACTTCTGAGGTATTTCTAGGTGGGTTTGAACCACCAACTTTTTGGTTAGTAGTCCAGTGCTTAGCCATTACACCATCCCAGGACTCCTTTGCTGATACACGTGAAATTAGAGTTTACTTTTGACATCTGACTGTTGTCTATATTTTATTTCTGTTATTTTCAATATTTCCTCAATCTTACTCTTAAGCCACCTCAGTCTGTTTGCCGCTTTCATTTTCGTTTATGGCTTGGGTTGAGAATAATTATGATTTTGTTTTACTTCTGGTACATAAAGTTCCAGGGCAATTTAATACAACAAAACGAACATTGAACTAAAAGTTATGAAAGGTGCTTCACTGTTTATGCACTCCTTTAAATCAAAAGAACAAGATGTAAACTATTTTTGTGTGTCATCTCCTGTGCTTTAGGCTCCTTGGTGCCTCAGAAAACATGAAAGAAGCTGATGTACAATCACTTTTGGCAAATTGCCTGCAGAATTCTAAGGACAGGAGCTGAAAAAAAAAACCAAAAAAAAAAAAAAAACAAAAAAACATAGTACACACCCCCGGACATTCCACACAACATTCAGAATAAACAAATAGGCCTCAAAAGGAAAGCAAAAGTTCTTGGTCCTGTGTTGAGGGGTATTACAAATGGGCTCTGGTCGAACATATACTAAAAATGGTGAAATACTGGAAAAATCCTTCAAAAGGGGTGAAATTGACCATGATTGACAGGAATACCTTTTCCCCTTAGTCTAAGGAGAGTGAGTGCTTTTAAGTAATTGTTGCCTACACTAACATGGGAAAGAAGTACCATGTTGCAGACTTGTGCTTCTCCATCCTTAACAGGAATATGACTCCCCTGGGTAGCTTGTTGCCGCCTAGTCTCCTGGGCATGCAAACCTTTTGTGTTCAGCTGCTAACCTAAAAGATAGTGGTTTGAACCCACCCAGCAGTGCCCTTGAGGAAAGCACTTGTGATCTGCTCTGTAAATATTACAACCAAGACAACCCTATGGAGTTCCATTCTACTCTGTAACATATGGGGTCTCCATGAGTTGGATTTGACTCAACGACAGTAGGTTTTTCTTTTGTTTTGTTTTCCACTTTGAGTATCTCTGATGGCAAAGTTACCCAAGGCATTTGACTGCTAACCAGAAGACTAGAGGTTCAAACCCACCAGCCACTCCTCAGAAGGAAGATGGGGCAATCTGCTTCCATAGTGATACTGCCTCAGAAACCCAAGGAGGGGTCACTATAAGTTGGATCCGACTCAATGACAGTGAGTTTTTTTGAGTATCTTGTTAAACTGCAGATACTTATTCAGTAGATTTGGGTGGGCCCGAGATCACAAGTTCCCACAAGATATGAATGTTTCCGGCCTTTGGGCCACAGTTGATTTTCAGTTACCTTCTTCAACAAAATAATAGATGTTTTTGTTCTGATCTTTATCTATAGGACAGTGATTCTCAGCTGGATGTGATTTTGACCCTAGAGGAAATCTGGCAATGTCTGGAGACATTTTGCTTGTCACAACTCAGGGGGTTGCTACTGTCATCTAATGGATAGTGTCCAGGGATGCTTGCTAAACATGCTAAAATGCACAAGACAATACCAATAACAAAAGAATTTTTTTACCTAAAATGTTAATAGTGCCATGGTTAGAAAACCCTACTGTAGAAGTTCCATTTTATGCATTTGTCATATCAAAAATAGTCTGTTGATCCTCGTCCAGGGCCAAGGGGAATGAAGAAAACCAGAAATTCATGGAAACAATCAATCCTAGCAACTGGTACACTATCCAATCTCAGCATACATGACTGTGGGACCAGAAGAAATAGATGGTGTTCGACTACTACTGTCAACCACTTGGAAGAGGATCTTAGTAGGAGATCCTGGATAGACAGGGGGAACAATGTGGAAGAAAACACAAAATCATTTGGAAAAAAAAAAAAGCGGGGAACAGGTTTCCTGGCCCAATGGAGCCTGGTGGAACCACTGAGACTATGGCTCTAGCTGCCCTTCAGGTCTGGAATTGAACACACACCTGTAGCTTCCAGCCAAGCAGTAGACAGGCATACTAATTGAGCATTTACCTGAGATAGATACACTCCTTGGAGAGAACAAGCAAGAGAGAAAGAAGGGCTGCTCAGGCACAGGGAGACAGCTCAGGAGGTAGGAGTGCATGGAGGGATGGTCACAGGGAAGCGGTACCTATTGGGAGGAAGTGGGAGAGGAGATGTTGCGTTGTGCTAAATTGTGGTCAATGACATGAGACAAAGTGTATGTGATCTGCTGTATGGAAAGTGTATTTGCTCTGTAAATTTTCACCCAAATCACAATTAAAAAAAAAAAAAAGAGAAAAGTTAAAAAAAAAAAAGTCTATTGAAAGCACTCAATAGAAAATAAAACCTGAGAGAAAAGTGTTGGAGCGCGTACTATTTAGTTTTGAGTAGAGAGTGAGCAGTGTGTAAAACTGCCTTCAAATATATGAAAGGTTATTACATAGAAGATGGTAACCAGCTGTTCTCTATCACACTTGGAGAATGAACAGGAAATGTACATAAATGGCCCTGTGCTACCCAACTATTTTTCTTCTGTGTCAGCCATGCCACCTGGGCAAATCTCTATGATCTTTAAACCATATTTCTCTTGTCCTGTATCTTACTGCTTGCAGAAACCCTCCCAGATCCTTGGGACACATTTTTTTACCTGCTGCTATGTCACTCGTCTCTCTTCTTCTTATAAATCTAACTTGAAAATTTCCATCTCCAAAAAGTATTCCTTAACTAATGTGAAGTAGTTGCCAGTTCACTTTAATTATAACTGGCATATACTTCCTCCTTCAATGTGTTATCTTTCATTCTACGATAGGTTATTGTCCATCTGTGGGTGGGGAGCTGGGCTGATTTTGGCAAGGGATAAGAAGGATGAGTGAGAGTGTCTCCAGCTTTCAGACTCTTTCAATTTAAGAAGGAGTTTGCCATAGGCAACTAAAATGTAAGCAGTATATAATAATTATCTCCATGAGAAATTACAAAAATAAAAGAGTAAATTTTAAAATTTGACAATTATATCAGTCCCAAGTAAGGAAGCTGAAGGAAGGCTTTATAAATAGGTAGACATATATATCTTTTTTGTTTGTTTCCATGAATATTCTGCAAATTATGCATAATCCTTTATACCAAATAAGCACTTCATAATGTTACCCAATTCCAAAGATTATTAATCACAGCAGTCTGGATTAAGACTGAGTTTATGGACGAGTTCTACTTTGAAACCCATGGGGTCACCATGAGTCAGAATGTTCTCAACAGCAACAGGTTCACTTTAGTTTGGTTATGGTAGGTAGATAATGTTGAGAGACTGAATTTATTAAATCTACCAGAAGCTATTTCTTTACATCTAGCTAAGAGAATTTTACAGGATCCATGTGGCTTTATGGTGGTTTGAACAAAGGAAACATAATTTAATCATCTCTGAATGAATCTTATGATGCTCTGTGCTCTTCTGAAGAAGTGCTCTTTTGGGAAGAATTATTAGCAAGAAATACATTGGAACCTCACAAATAGACTCTAAAAAACATTACCAAAGATGGAATTTGGCACCATCTATTTGAGGCAATGATTCCAGAACCCAGTTAGGAAATAGTCTTGCTTGTAAAAGCTTTCTATTACCTGGACACTGAAGAAAGTGAGGAGAATTAACCCTCACTGAAAGTCTAGTATGTGCCAGGTATTGCATATGCCCTTTAGATGTATCTTCTGATTTATTCTCAGAAGAGAACTATGAGGTTATCACCACCAACATTGTAAGTAGGCTTCAGTGTATTAGTGTAAACTTCACTCACTACTTGATTCAGGGAGCATAGCAGAGTGACTCCCAGGCTGGCATAGGTAGCCCTCTCAGGGTGGAGGCAATCAGCTTGCCATTCCCTTTAGAAACAGGAGACAGTGTCCTCTGTCAATGCTTTAAATGATGATACTTGCATTCTGTATCATCAAAATGGAAAATGAAGCTCTTTACATTTAATTAGTGGCCATGGTATGTTGTAGGGCTCACTAGTGGAAAATTATCTGCAACTGAGTGAGTCATCCATGAGCATAAACCTCTGCCAACTCTTTCCCGCACATTCTGAAGTCTTTAGTTCTGGGAATGGTGCAGACACTAAATTATGGGATTTTGTTTGGATGTTAATTCTTGTATGCTTTGAAGCTATTGTGTTGTTTATTCAGTCAGTAGTAAACTTAATGTTAGGCTTTTCTTATAGTTCTCATTTTTTGGAGCATGACTGCTTTTATAACAAGATGACAGCTTTAAAGGGTAACCTTTAGGACACCTTCCATAATTCAAAACATGATATTCTTGCTTTACTCTGTGTAACTGGATTTTGTTTTCTCCCTTAAAGTTGTTCTAGGCGTCTGTGTATCATTCAACGTTGATGTGAAAAATTCAATGACTTTCAGTGGCCCAGTGGAGGACATGTTTGGATATTCTGTTCAACAATATGAAAATGAGGAAGGAAAGTGGTAAGTCAATGAGTTTTGCTGTTATTGTTTAGTTATAAGATAATGGAAAATATTATCAAGTGATAGTTTGTCTAATGAATGAGATTTCAACAGAATCAATCATTTATGGAAGAAAGGACAGTCAAATCACGTGGTAATAGAAACTGACTTAAAGTAAAAAAGAAAAAAAAAAAAAATTCCTTGCCCATATTGTTTAAAGGAATTGATTAGTCCTTTCTGTTGAAGCCTTATTTGACCTCAAGGAAGGCCTTTATCTAAAATAGTTATTGTTGAGTAATTATGTTGTTCTGGCAAGAGCTCTTTAATTGTTCCCATTTTAGAGTAGCTTGAACATGTTTGGCTGAAATTCAGCAGGAGTTGTTGAGAGGTACATGAGATGCCTTGAAAGAGTTACTATAACCTTCATAATATTGGGCTTATAATTTTGGTGCTTTACTGACCTACTGGGTTTGGTCTGAAGTTTATAATGGCCCTTATTAGACTTATTTTATACATTTTTTCAATGCTAATATAGATCAAATTTATTTTAGAAATTATTTTTAACATTTATCTAACTTGTTGAAAATTATACAAAATGGATATAGCTCTTTTCCTTTATATTAATTTTAGTAAGTGTGGTTCTTTTTTTCTTTCTTTTTTTTTTTATTATTTTTTTTTGGTAATCTGACCTTGTAGGAAAAACAAATCAAATGGGACTTAATTAAACTTTTCTTCCATTTAAAAACTTAAATGAAATGTATGAAACCTGGCTATTTTTCTATCAATGAAAATAATAAAATAATAAGCAAAAATGCTTTTATATCTATTTGGATAACGTGATCTGTCATGTCATTATAATTATTTCACAGATGAAAAGATGAATTTTTTTCATATTCCATTTCATCTTAAAAAAAAAAAAATCACACACCCACTGCTATCGAGTTGATTCCAACTCACAGTGACCCTATAGGACAGATTAGAACTGCCCTATAATGTTTCTGGCTGACTCAACGGCAAATAACAACAACAACATAATGTTTCCAAGGCTGTAAATCTTTATGGAAGCAGACTGCCTTGTCTTTCTCCTAAAATGTGGATGGTGGGTTCGAACTGCTAACTTTTTGGTTAGTAACCATTGAATGCCTTACCTACTATGCTACCAGAGCTCCTTGTTGTTGTTGTTGTTAAGTGCCGTCGAGTCGTTTC